TAGTGAGTGGAACCCATGACTTTCAGTCCGAGAGTTTATGTTGCCTGATTTTCATTCCTTGAGCTACTACAAGGTTTATTTATACCTTCAATCTCCAGTCTCTTTCCTCAGTATTACATGCAGAATATCGTCTGGTAGTGTTCTCCCTTGTGAGGGGAACACATTTCCCTATGATTCCCAACATGATTGGTTTTGGGGACAGCGTCACTAGTTATCAAGATTAAAATCCATCTTGCAACAAAAACTTCGCTCCGCAGCACAATCTGCTTCTACGTCGCGAAGGGAGGATAGGAAACGAGTTTCATGGCCAGGGTAATCTGATAACTGTCAACTTGGAAACTCCAGCAGAGCGAGTATTGTGCACCTTTGATAACTACGGTTCCACCATCAAAGTCTTCAGACCTCACCTCGACCTCGACATGTAACATCCAGCCTCGCAAATTTCCCAACCGAACACCCTCAGCATGCAAACATGTCCATCCCTTAACAGAAACCACACACCAAAACTCTGCGTAAGTATCGCAGCAACCATGGCCGTCATTGTCGAGCTATCTCATACCCTTTCCCCTTACACCAGCCCGACCCAGATCCGAAAGCCCTCCGACCGCCAGAGAAGAGAAAGCTTACATCAAGAGTCATCACATCCCCCCATGACACCCAAGGAAAACTCTTCAATCAGGCATGACTTACACAGAAAGGGACACAAATCCTCTTCGTCCCTCCACACCTTTCTTCCTCCCGCTTCCAAGCGAGGCCAATTACCCAAAGTGGCCGTCTCACCCGTCACCTCCCGAGGAACGGCCAAGCCAGGCAGAAAACACCACGAGGCCTCAAAACGACGATGAATCACATGCTTACCCGTACTCTCCCGTGCTCCTCTTGCTTCCCTCACTCTTCAACGGAATGGGTAGATAGCTAGCTAGCCTCGGTCCTGAATCGGCCTCGTTGCCTACCTGCCTACCTGACTGCTAGGTAAGCCATTTATTACAGAGAATCACCAACTGGTAACTGTAGAAAATTTCACATATATTACGAGATCACATATGACGCATCAAAAGCAACGAAGCAAACGATGCAAAAAACCTAGCTACCATGCACCAACTCCATGCCAGGCTCCCACCCTCGATTTCCCCAATATCAGCCTTAGCCAAATACCAAAGTCAGCCTACATACCAACCAACAAAGCCTCGCAGCCTGACCCCTCAAAAGCGGCTGAAAGACATTATACCGCCCAGCCTGCAAGACAGCCTGCCGAACATATGTCATACGCGACAAAAGTACAAGGCTTGGCCAAACGCAAGCGCCGCATACCCGGAAAGCCAAAAGCCTATTTTCACTTTTCCTTTTCGCATCTTCGTACACGGCTATGAACGTTGGCATGCTGCCGTGCCGTGATCGTGGCGTCTTCATGTTGGACTCCGCTCCGTAATGAAATGTACTCCGTACTGTATCCGTAAATGACCTTTGTAAAATCCCACAATCATTGTAATAGTTCCCCCGTAGTCTGCCTGCCAGCCCGTAAGGCGCATGCGTTTTTCTTTGATAGCCTTACGTTTCCCATGTTCGTCGCAGCAAGGCAAAAAAACACAGCCACAAAAGGAGGCTGAATCAAGCGCGGGCAGCCAACCTACTCTAAATCTCTACGTTTTTCTGCTCTCGAATGCTGGCTGGCTTTCCTGCTGCGCCTGCGCCTGCGTACACGCGCCTACCTTCACTGGGGAGTGGGACAGCCGCGTCCGCCGTGTGCCTCGGTTACCAGCACCTGGGGTCCCTTACGAATGCAAAGACAGAGCATCGTGGACTCCGTTCGAATGCGTGCTAAAAGTGTACCGATACTCTAATTACAATTAAGGGAGGAAAAAAAAGAGGGACCCTGAGGAGCCGAGAGACTTCGTCACTGGACACGAGTCTTCCCACCGCGAGTCGTGCGCGAAACCCAAGATCTGGGGCAAAAGCATATCCGGCGGGGAGGGACAGAGGCCAAGACTCAAAAATGGCCGCAGGGCCGCAGCGACTCCAGCAAGCTGTCACGCGGGAGCCGGATAGGTGGGCGGTGGAGTCTCGGATTGCGCAAAGCGGGAACCATTGCAGCTAATCGACACGGTTTCGACAAAGAGTTCGGAACACCTTGGCCCTTTCTGCCTCCGATCGTTCGGGCTCGCTTTCTACGGGAGAGGTCGGGTTGAAAGAGGCATCGTAGGTTCAACCGTCCAGTCCAGTAACATTACCCCTTCGGACTTGTCTCCCCCGCAACGGGCCATATTTGCGGTGATAAGGACAGCACATCGTAAGAGTCATCCTCCATGACGGAGAGGATAGGTCGCTTCCATGTTGACACGTCGGCGAACCGGTGACTAAATCGCCCACGCTGTCCCTCTATCGCCGACACCGGTCCATTTCCTCCTCTTGCAGAATCCACAGTGTTCTTCCCAAACCTGAGGCCGCTGGAGCGATTGCGTGCACGCGGTGCTACCTGGCGGGTTTCGACAAGGGCGTGACGGCGGTGATGCGAACTTGTGAAGTTTACACGATGCTCCGCGTCGCTAGGCTGGTCCAGCCCTGTCCCGAGATTCCCAGGGAGTCATTTGCCCGAGGCTGGGGGGGACACTTTCGTCCTCGCATTTTGTAAAACCCTATTGTTCAAGGGATTTCGCGCTTCATGACGTCTAGACTAAGACCAGAGCAGTGTGTTAGCCGCTGGCGCCCGGGGGATCAGATCTGAGATGAGATTCACGCCGTAAGCCCATGCAAGGCTACTGCTCAGCTGCCTGCGCGTGAAGAATTGCACAATGGATGAGGGATGGCTGGGCTGCCTGTTTGACAATGACCTGTTGAAGGGTTCCCATAGGCTGTCGTGCCGAGCCAAAAGGCCAATAAGTATCCATACTCTGTAGGCCCCTCCTACTGTTCCCTTGGTGATTCGCCTTGTGGTGCCGGTGAAGCTGGGGTTGCAGACGGGTGGATGACATCCAATCCATGCTGCTGCCTGGTTCAGGATTTGGGAGGAGGGGCCCCCAAAGGGCTTGGTGATCCCTCGCCCGTAACAAGTGGGTGAGAGCGGTCACCAGGAATAGACAGATAGATCCATTGTTGAAGCAGGGTGGCAAGGTGATTCGCCCATCAACTCTTCTCCGGGTCCGTTTTCCATGCGAGCATGTCTCATCAACGGTGCCCGACTAAGAGTATCTAACTGCTAAGGCTGTGGAAGTGGACGCCTCGACCTTATTCTTCGGATAGGCCTCCGGAACCCCATCGTCGACGCCAGCCTCTCTCCATCATACCATAGGTAACACTTTACGGATGACGACGAAGGTAGTCGGACTTTGGGACGTGGCTGGAATGGCCCCCAGATCGTTAGTAACGCCGCCTGCAGAGCTGAAGGGTCACGCGAGGTGCCGCTGTCGCGTCTCTCCAACAACTCAGCTCACGGATAGCCGTGAAACCAGGCTCAAGTTCCCACAGGCTGCGCCGCTTGCGCCAAGCTGTCTGAGTGATGGCCTCGCAGAATCGAGGATCGAGGGGACGAGATGCTAGTAGGCAATCTGACTGCTCACGCTAGTTCACGTCTTGCTTACAGGAAACAAAAAGACAAACGTCCGAATCACCGACACTTCCGGGGCAGCGGACTGTTCTCCACCTTCCATACCTTGGCGTGGAATACGTTTGGACTGCCGCTTACTGTGCTTGCCTCCTCTTGATGTTACTGAACAGCAGGCCGTTCAGACGACTTTGCCAGTTCACATAGTATTAGCCAGGCGGGGGGGGGGGGGGGGAGGCAAAATGAGGGGTTCCGTCCGCCACCAACAGCTTGTCTAACGTCAATATTGGCCAAACTTCACTCGCTAGCTCACCTGAGTGACGGCAAATCGCCGGCGACGAAGCGTGACTGAAGCCTAGTGGTGTAATCACGTCCCCGCAGTTGATGACTTATGAGTAAATGGCGTCGACGAATGACAATTTCTCGATTTGACAAGCGGTGTTCCGTGGGATCACGCTGACGGAATAACGGCAGACGTCTCTCCACATGTCGAAACCTCCGCATCACGGGTCTGCGTTGCGTTTCTCGCAAACAAGTCGCTCAACATCACCATCGAGTGATGTCTATCCGTAGATCTCCCCATTCACCAACACGCGGGGTGATCCGGGTGGGACGTTCAATGTCTCCAGACTCCAGATTCCCGACTCCAGAGGGCACGAGAAGATCACGGAAAGGACTCCTCGCTATCGCCGATGTCCGTAAGCGAGCCATATCAGGGAATATTTGTATCGCTGGGCCTTAGTCATGCTGAAAAAGAGCGAGATTGTCGCTCAGATGAGCTCTCGGGCATTGCTGAAACCCAACGCAATTCCCGTCAGGGGGGATCATCACCCCATCGTGCCCATGTGGTGTGCCAGTCGAGCTAGAAAGCCGCGATCTTCTCGAAGCCTTCCGCTTTAGACCGCTCGAGGCCCTTGGTTGGCCTGGGCCAACCGATTCTTTTCAGCAGGCAACCAAATTTTGTCTCGGTGACTCCTTTGGTGTGTCGCACTTTGTGTATCTGAAAACCAGTATGGTGTGTTGTTCGAGATCGAATGCGCACCATCAGCGAAAAGTCTTCATGGTCCGGTGCAATGTCGAAGCGAGTTTTACCGAAAGGCTAGAACGGCGTGTAGCTGAAAAGAGTCATACGAATATTGGGTTGCGCGCCGCGCTGTTCGAACTTCGAGGCTTGAGCTGTAATCCAGCTCACCGTTTGCTTGAGTCGTGTGCATCAGCCGCGCGGCAAACCACGGCAGCGGTGTCATGCAACTCACCGTCGTCGTTCTCCCTCAATAGTAGCAGCGTGTCTCCGTTGAAACCATCGTGAACATGATACAGTCATAGCATAGGCCTTTGCGAAAACTCCTTATCTCGCGGGCCGAATCGAGCGAATCCGAGAATCTAAGGGGATGCGCAAACGAAGCCTCGCTTTTCATGCCACGGCGCTGTGGAGACGCAAGTCTTCAAGCCGCCACATGATATGAGAGCATCCCTCTGCTTCTTTGATTTCTTTTGTCGAGGCTTGAGACGTATTGAGAGCATGAGAACCCGGCGCTCATTGGTCAAAGAAGATCACGTATCACAGGGGGCTTAGGATGTTAAGAGCCTACTCGCGATCCCGTACGAACTGGGAAACAACATATGTGCCTCTTTGCAAGGCACACGCAAGTCTTTGGCTTCACGAGGGACATCCACAGTCCTCCGTAAGACAACGAACCTGTTGCACGGAATCCGATCATGTGTACGGATATCGTAGAATTCCGTCCTGGCTTGGAGAACAGATCTCCACGCTATTGTTCTGCTCTCGGAGTAAGCTCCTCGGGCGAATGAGATTTCGGACAGACAACGGTGAGAGTTTGTCCAATGAGCGCCAGCTGTGTGTTCTTCGCCCCTCTTTATCTCCCCTTCATCGACGCTGCCCTGCCGCCGAACGACAATCTGAGTTCGTTGGCCTGCATCCAAGACGGCAATGCTGGACAGATTGAGGACAGCCCTCCAATGAAGGTCTGCCGCGGGGCGGAGCGGGGCTGGCTGCGACGGAGGTGTGTGACATGGCAATACCAGTAAAGCTGCAGGCTTTCCTGCAGCTTGCAGCTAGACCGAGTGATGCCTGCGAACTGCACAAGGGGGGCGGTGGCCAGATGACGGCATTTCGAGGCAAGCAGACTCGGATCTTCACGTTCTCCCTCCCCCCTTCAGCAAACTTGATGCCATTCCCGGCCCCCAACTTCTAGAAGATTCATAGCTATGAATATCCGTTGGTGGGGAGAAGTTGTGAGATATTTGAGGGAGCATATCATCAACCCGGCCATTTTTGGTGTACGCCCGGAGTATTGCTTGACAAGCCTGACAAGGTACTTGAGGAAATACTGGGCAATGATGCCAAAGCTTGCAGGTTCGGTACGAATCGGAACAAATCTCGTAGTCGCCGGGGTTTAAACTGGCGGTCGGTCTCCCGCGCGCCCAGCCGTCTCCATTTCTGCCCAGTACAGAGCCACGAGTGCAGTCCGGCGGGCGAGACGAGTCGGTACATGTAGCCCATGTATTGAATCGAAGAAGCCAAGACCACCAGGCGAATGAGCAACAGCAGCCGCCCAGGACCTTTGGCACTGATTGGCTGCTTGTCTCTCCCACAGCGTTTTCCGTATACTTCTTGACAAACAGAGTGCTCCCTGTCCTGTGTCCCCTGTACTCCTTGCCCTCTTGATACTGACACTTTGCTCTGGTGCTCCCCTCTTATCTGGGGCCAGGTACTTCCAGCAAAGTATAGAGCATCCATGGTCTGCTTGGGTGACTTGTGCACATTGTGCACCTTTCTCGCAATGAAGATATGCAGCGTGTGGGGGTTTAGCTTGAAAGTACTGCCTCAGGTCGTTCCAACATGATTGACCTCACAAAAGTGTATCAGGGTTCTCGCCTGGGATGTTTCGAGGCATCTATTTGAAGGTCAAGCAGGTGTAATGTGTTTGAAGACCAGGCAAGAGCCATGCTTCGCAAACATTTAATATCATTCTCTATGTTTAAGGAATGATTTGAAGCGTGAATGGCCTTGTGCTTATTTGCGAGACGACTGCGTCTTTTTAGAAAGGATGCAACGTGCAACCACGTAAGCAGTTGATAGACAAGACGCGCAGACGGCACCCTCGGGTCGTGGAAGGAGGGACAAGATGGCAATATCGAGCTGGAGGATTATCGAAGAGTGAGGCTTGGTCTGTGGATCCAAGATAGGTACTCCGTAGAGGATACGTAAAATGAGATGGATGCTGGTGACAGTGTGGCTGAATCCACCGGATGCGATCTGTTCCATTGTCCCCGAGACGTCCGTGTTTTGTGAGAGTCCAAAACCAAGTTGGTGCACCCGTATCACTGTAGCTTATTAGACGGCTGACAAAGATGTAAACTAGGTAGAGCGGCTGAGAAATCGCCTCTGAGAAAAGGAAGCGCCGGAGACGCGCAACTGGCATGCCGTGGTCCGTAAGCGTCCCGTCGAGCGTCTCTTTTGACCTTTGTAATTCAGGAACAAAGCTCTGAACCTGAAGCGGAGTTCGTGGCGGAATCTGAGGGGGCGCACTTCGGTATCTCGGGGCTTGAGGAACCACTGAGTGTCACGGGAGCCCGTCGTCGGCGGACAAGTTGCAGCGCGGTATCCGTACCCAAGTTGGAGGATGAACCCTTTCTCAGCGACAGTTTGTCATGCTCCAGGCTTGCAAAGACCACTGAGCCACTGGGGTTTGGGCTCTGAGTGTGTATGAGGTCACTGTCTAGGGAGGATTCTGAGGACCCTAGAACGACCCGTCCAGAGGCCCATCGTTCCTGTATGGATACCTGATGGAGCTCAGGTTGTCGACCTCGGCAGGAAGTTCCGTCGGCTCTCGATCAGTAGTCCGACAGCGAAATTGGGGTGATATCATCGTTGGACGCGCTCTACGGCATTTCGGTGGAAGAGTGCTCGCGATGGTAGGGGCTGACGCCCTTTGAATGTTGCTTTGACTTTGTAAGCCGAGCCGCAGTATTCATACACTGAGTACTCCGTATGCCCCATCAGTGGTCAGGTCAATGTCTGCATGGCCGTGTAAACTCAACTCGGTAGCCCATCGAGATTCGCCAACAGCGCTGATTGGAGCTGACGCTTTTGTGTGGTGCGTGCGCGTGTCGGTATCTCTCGTAGGTGATTTCTGGCTGTGGCTAAGGTAATTAGGAGCATTGCGGTTGGCTGGCTTGCTTGCCCCGATTCCCCGAGCTCTCAAAGGGTGTGTGGTGGCATGATGAGACAGGATGATGGCACGCAATCTCTCCCCCCTCGAGATATTCCTCTGGATCAAAGCTTGGTTGTCTAGTGGCGAGACTTTGGGCGAGACAACAGCTGTTGTCAGTCGATTCTTCGAAGATTGTCGCGTGCGCCGGGGGTCGAGTGGGTTCGCTCGCAGCTCGCCGGATTAATAAATCGAAAATGTTCAAGGCCAATATCTCGTTGAGACCAGACTCGTGATACCCTCATAAGCACAAGCCGTAGCGTGTTCATGCTTACACGAAAGACACGGCGTGCTTCATCCCCAGGTTGCAAGGGTTATCGAAGGTCTGTGTCTCTATCTCATCCTGCAAATCTGGGTTTGTGGCCTGGCTGTAATTGCAATAACCAAATAAAGGTGGCGCTATAGCTGGAGCAGGTGTGGATGGGCGGAAGAGAAAGGCATGGGTAGGTCGTTGAAAGAGGGCGTCAATGTCTGCAGATTTCGAAGTCCACGGCACAGGATGAGGATTGATTGCGATGGCGTGGCGGAGGGGGGGCTTGATGGTCAACGATGACTCTTTCCCCCCCTCCTTCCCTGCGCTAGCATCCGTGCCTGCCACGCTGCCTTACCCCGGGGGGCTCCTTCTCTCTCTTGCAAGTTGCAACTGCACCTCAGTCTGCTCCTGCCTGGCCGGCTTGGGGCTGGGCAGCAGCAGCCATTCAGCGGTGCAGCTTGCCAGAAACCACAAAGGCTGGGCCACTGCAGAGGGTGTGTTGCTGCCGCACACGAGTGGTTGAGAAGCCATTTTAGGCTTGGCGGGGCTAACCTCAAACGACATGGCGTGGAACAACTTTGACCAATCAAGAAGGAGGTTACGACGTGAGCAGCCACTTGGCGACGGAAGATGCCAGAGCCAAAATAGTCGTGCAGAAGATTTGACGCAGGCCGTGAGGGGATAGCGAACTTGGGAAGAGCTCCAAGCTCCAAAAGCTCAGGCACCGGAGCAGAAAGCCAGACAGACAGACCCCAAGGTTGCTAGGCATCAAGGGGCGGGATGAATGCTGCATGGAACGAAATGGAAATGGATACCTTACTTTGCAGTACGGTACACAGTCTACCACAAGGTCACAGTGCCGTTTGGTCTGGTTGGTGGCGATGGAAAGTTCGGGCATCATCTCGGGCTTTTGGGCCGGGTGGGAACAGAAGCAGAGATACCTGAACGGTCATGGGCATGAGAGGACAAGCACCGAAGCAGGTAGGAACGCAGTTGATGATTGAGCAGTTTGGGGCCTTGGCCAGAGAACAAGCAGAGAACAGATAACGACCTGAGGATAGCAACACTGGAATAGACACATGAGAGGTGGGTAAAGTGGAGTTTGGGTATGCAGCTATCAATATGTGAGAGAGTGTGAGTAAGAGGAGGCAAGGGCATTTTGGGGGCATTTGGTGTGTGTGTGTGTGCTGCGTGAGAGGTGTGTATGAGTAGCTGGATGAGTATGAGTAATAGCAGTAAAGATGAGTGAGGAGCAGCGAGGGAAAGACACACTCGCTTCCAGATGAGAAAGAGAGGTGGATGAGAGTGTGAGTCTGAGAGCAATGGAAAAAGAGTGGAGACGGTGGCTATTTTTTTTTTTGGTTTTCAATATGCCCTCCACCCCGGGAAGGAGAACGACGCGACCCACTTTGTATCACTGTATGAGCCAATGAAAAGACAGACGAAGAAAAGACAGTGGCCGAATGCTGAGACTCGCTGGGTGTTCCGGGCCCCGGCTGCATCCTTTCTCTCAGGTCTCCCCTCTCCCCTCTCTTTTTCTTTCCCAGGGAAACCGAGTGAGGTGTGAGGTGAGGTGAGGTGGTAGTGGCCAGCAAGAGGTCGGTGCAAGGCAATTGCAAGTGGCAGCAAGTCCCCATCTGCTCCTTCCCACCAACCCTTAGGTACCACCCTTCCACGCCTTCCAGCCTTCGAATCAACGTGTGCACAAATTCCCAGGTTCCAGTTCCCAGTGGCCCACACCAGTTTCCCATACCAGAATCCAGTGTCCGGTACTTATCTCCATGTACCTTTGCCCGTCCCGTCCAATGTATCTTTTTCCTACCGGGCTTGCTCTTGCCTGTATCCGTACCGTCGCGACGACAGCAGGGTCAGAGTGAAAGAGAGAGTAGGAGAGACCTGCCCGTGGAGTCTGGCTGGGTGTGTGAGTGCTCCCCCAGGCATTCAAAACTATCGCCGCGCCCACATCGCCGTGCACCTATGTCCTCCCCCCTTCCTTTTCCTTTTGATCCATCGAACAATCGCCATCGCCATGTTCGATTCCAAGGTCTAAATTTGTACGACAGCGACTCTCCGAAGTCTGCTAGACGTGCCTCATCTCGGGAATCCCTGGGAAGAGACTCTAGACCAACTCTCCGCTTATTCCTTTGTAAACTTGCTTTCTAGGTCGTGTAGCAACACGTCTACTACGCCTCTCACTCTCTCCTCTCACTCCCGTCCTCGCCAGCAGATCAGTCACTCACCGTGTCCTAATCTACCGGATCCCTTCATCCTCGCCTCCAAGAGTCATCTCGGCCACCCTCGGTCACGTTACTCATCGAGCATCACCGCAACACATCATCATCATCCTCAACACACGACAACCGCCTGACCCTCGCCATTCCTAGGCTTCCTTGTTTGCAACCGCAGCGGCATTCACTTGTTCCTTGCGGCTAACAAAGGCATCAACCTACGGATACTTTCCATTTTCGGCACAAGCTCCACCACCAGCAACAACCATCACCATCCAGCCCAGGCACGCAGGCTTTCAATCCCTCTTACGCTGGGATATTTTGAGATCGGATTAAGGCTTCAATAGAGTCATACGCCTTTCTCATCATCACCCAACGGACCCTCTGCTGCCTACCTGCCTACCAGCGTTTTCACGCAAGCTCCTTGTCTCTCACAGTTACTCATTTTCCTGCCTTTCAACAAAAAAATATCTCTCCGATACCCTGCAACTATCTCATTCGGCTCTGACACATTATACTCATTCCTTTTTAATCAACTTGCCCTGGCAACATCCACGACAATAGCTCACACGACGATTACGACTCATCCTTCAACCTGGCTTCTCATCAGCTGACCCAGCATCTCCTTCGCCACACTCCTCTGTAGTCGCCAAGAGACATCTCCAGCCGAGGGACTCGAAGCACTGCCTGCAAGGTTAGTACCAAGCCCAGTTTGATTTTCTGCACAGCATTTTCCTCCCAGCCCAGCACCAGCTAGCACGAACACGTCAAACGCCGCAAAAGTGGATGAGAAGCAGCATGAGTGAGTGAGAGAGTGAGAGTCATAGAGAGAGAGAAACAGAGAGACAACGCTACCTATCCGGCCTGCCTGTCACTCTTCTCCCCTTTGCCTCTCCTGGTTCTCGAGAGCGATCACGCACTCAACCGGACCACTCTTACCCACCCCCTGTCCACCCCCGGGGTCTCCTTCTCGGCCTTCCCTAGGCTGCCACTGCCACTGCCACCTTTTGCACCTCTCACTCACTCTCTTTCCTTCCCGCGCGCACGCACTCACGCACTTTGCACTTTCCCCTTCTCCCCTGTGTGGTCCCCCCCCCCCCTTCCATCTTCACACCTGTCGGTCACTTGGAGCCACCTGCCTGGGCGGCAACCCAACCAGGTTCACCCCCCTTCGCCACCCCAAACCCGAAAGAGTCATCCACACCCAATCTGGGGCCCTCGAGCCAGACTTGAGCCACCCAAGGGGTCCTCCGACTTCGTCACGCCAGGCCAAGTCGCCCCTCTGAACACGTTCGTTCGAGATACCACGGGCGGCGCAAGGCGAAAAAGAGTCACACCTCATCCCACCTGCTTGGATATAACCTCTCTTCGCAGCCACACTTGGCCCAGCGCCTTGCCTCCCCTCACTCTACCCTTCCGACTCCGACTTCGCCTTCCTTTAATCAACCTCACCAACTCTCCTCTCAACCCTTAGCCACCCTATCATCACTCACCTATTATACATCTAATATTATACACTTCATCGCATCGCATCAATGGTGGCTCTGCAGTAGCTCACCATATAATCAGGACCTTTTAGCCCCTCCTATTAGATGCATTAAACATACGATGCCTCTTCGAATTACAAAATCTACTCCAGTCGCCCGTCTTGTTTCGTCTTCCGGTTTGATCCTTCGTGTAACGTCGGCTGTGGACATTTGCGTCTAAAAGCCGCCACCCCTATCTACGACTCTCAAAGACTTTACAACAGTAACTAGTAGCTGTTGTGAAGTTGCGCGTTTCTGATACGGTATCACGATCTGCTCATACGAACCCTTTCACGGTTTACCCGGTTGACTTAGCTTGACGGCGACTGGAGGAATCACTCCCATATCGAAAACCCCCAAACGCCAAATACCCTCCGCCACTTATATCCAAGATGAAGTACGCCACCGATGATTCGTCGGCTTTCATCAGCACCTACCAAAACAACACCTACAGCTCCTCCCTCGAATCCCTGACCTCCACATCGTCCGGCTCGGTTTGGTCTGCTGTATCCTCTCAATCATCTACCTCGACATCCCCCACCAACACCTCCGACTCCGATTCCGCCGACGTATATTGCTTGTCGCGACCCTCGGCCGCATGCGACACTGCTGTTAGATTCACAAGCCCCTGGCCTAGACAACCTACTCAGCAAGCCGCTGCTGCCATTCCCCAGGAGCTGCGACAAAACCCCAGACGAACCAGTGGGAGCGCCACCCGCTCTGGAGCACCCCCGACCCTGGTTCGCCAGGCTGAGCGCAAGGTCAACTTTGTCGACAACCTTGTTGGTAAGCAGTATTGAACATGTGTGCAGCCGTCCAGTCTCCTAATCCAATCGTCACTCTAGATTCTTCGACACAGATCGTCGAGGCCATCTGGCCCCTTTCCTCAGTCGTATGTCGCAATGAACTCGGCAACAAGGCGGTGTTACCGCTGCGCACCTTCATTCAGGAGACCCTGCGCCGCTCCCGCACCAGCTATTCCACCCTTCAGGTTGCGCTGTACTACCTGATTCTGATTAAGCCCCACGTCCCGAAGCACGATTTCACCATGGAACAGCCCGACGACAAGCAGGAGTGCCGCGCACTTCAATGCGGCCGCCGCATGTTCCTCGCCGCTCTCATCCTCGCCTCCAAGTACCTCCAAGATCGTAACTACTCTGCCAGAGCCTGGAGTAAGATTTCCGGGCTCAACACGGGGGAAATCAACCAAAACGAGATTGCATTCTTGCTGGCGGTCGACTGGAAGCTGCACATCACCGACGAAGTCTTCCAGCGCTGGACAGAAATCGTCTTGAAGTACACCCCTCCGTCCCCTTCCGCTCCCGGAACCTCCGCCCAATGGTATGCGCAACAGAGCTCGAACTGGAAGATGGTTATTCTCAAACTCAATCCCGAGCTGGACAACATCGAAGGCTTGATTCCCACGGCGCACGTCGCTCCCAGCTCCCGCACCTTACCTCGTCACCGCACCATGCTGCCGGCGGCGCAAGATGTTTTGGCTACGACCGGCGCTTGTGGATTGGGGTACGACTCAGCCGACCTTACCCCTACCCCGAGATCCTACCAAACCCCGAATATTATGGAGCCTTCCCCGGCCACTGTATACACTCCGGGCCGGCTGGCTCCCGCTCTCGGGTTACTTCCCACCCCGCGTCTGACGCCCCAGTCGAGCGGATACAGCACTCCTGCCGTGGGTGCTGCATCCCACCTCAGCAAGGGCAGCGCGATGGGCCTCGCCATGGCCCAGGCCTCATGCGTCAGTGCAACCCAGTGCCTCGATCGTTGGCCTGTTGCCAACACCTCGTCTCCTCAGGGTTACTTCCCCGTTCGTCGTTCTTCTCTCGCCACTTCAATCTCAACCGCGTCTTCTCCCGAATCCATGGTTTCTGATACGTCGCGCACCTCTCGCTCCTCCTCCATCTCATCTGCCTCCTCACTGGTCAACGCGCCGGCCCCTCTGGGGGTCCAGGCGCGATTCCGGTCTGCGAAGCTGTGCAGTGAGAGGTCAAGCTTGAGACCGACTATCGCCTCGGTTCCTGAGGACTACGAAGAGAATTGCATCACCTCTTCGCCTGAGTCTTACACCGGCCCGGTTGGCAGACTCTGCGAAATGTCGTTGGATACTCCTTTGGCTCAGAGAGAACGCGAATTGGATGAAATGACGCATGATCCCGCGAATGACGCCGCACGGGCACTACAGGAGCTTCAGAACTACCGTTCCGACGACTCTACTCCTACTGCGATGTCTTCCCGTAAGCGCGCTCGAGGTGTCTCAATCGTCGACAACTGCCTCCAGGAGAATGTTCGGGATATGCTCACCGGTAACTACTCGGGCAAGCAATGGACCCAGGATCTGGTTCGCCCTCGCAACAGCCAGATGGGCACAAACGACCGTGGCACCCCTCGCAAGCGCGTCTGCTGCGCTAGCGAGGCTGCTCCGGCTTACGAGGCATCAATGCTTCATTCAATCGACGGATACCGCGGACCGGGCATGTGGGAGGGAATTCTCAACTGAGCACATTGTGCACACCTCCCGAGATACCCACTGGTCAACAGTTGAACACATCTTGACCTTTTTTGTGCAATATCCTCCATTTCCTTTGTCAAAAACGAAATCAATACGGGGCGGCGGGATACGGAAAGTGCTAATGATACCACCTTGGCGGTTCATCGAGTCCTTAGAACAGCTTAGATGGCGTCAAGGAACGGCACGAAAAGCGTGATAATCTTTGCATGCATCAACAGGTCAAGGCATATGGGGGCGGTGGATGGCGAAGAAGCTACTGCGGCATTTTCGTCGCGTTTTGTGTTTGTACGATCACGCCGAAGAAGAGAGTTGATATGCGTTTTGAATTTTTTTGCGTTTTTTATCGGTTTGGGAATCGAGCTATCGCTGGTTCTCAGGCTATTTGCACTCTGGGATTTGGAGACGACAGGGTCTTTCGCATCGAATCGCCCGCGATCAGAGTTTGGGAGAGTGTGATTGGGCGCTCGATGGGAGATCCGAAAGGGGCGACCAAAACGAGCCATCAAGAAACACATCACCTCACTCGCTGAGAGCGGCACCTGTTATCCGCCGCGATTCATCGGATATGTTTTCATCACGCAAAAGCGCATGGAAACGACACGGCACGTGTTACTACAACTTCACATGAAAGCGATGAAGCTATACTCGAGAGATTCATAGCTAGCTTTTCGACCACGAGACATAAGTTGTTGCTTTGTCTGGCCTATCAAATCAAAATCTTACCAGATTTGGAACCGAGTTTTCTTCTGTGTACCTTTGTGCTGGAAACAGCCTTGTTGACAACGTGCTTTGTGAAAGCAAGTACATTTGGTGTACTTGCGACTGCTTATTCATTGAACGGAGAGCTTCCGATGACTGCTAATACGGTGACATTAGGTGCCTCTTACGTTTGACTGTCAGTAGTTGAGCCAGGCCTTTTGATACGGAGCTGCTACCAACGTGTTGACCGTGACCAAGCTGCGGACCTCAGTCTGACCTCAATCAACCGTCCGAGACGGAGCCCGAGACGGGGAAGCTTGATGCAACAGACTACAAAAAACCGGTTGATTTTTCTTTGACAAGCGTTTTGACCCATGAAAAAATGACGAGATGTCATTTGGTGGCAGCGCGGCGGTTGCTGCTGCTGCTGCTGCTACCACTACGAATACCTTAACGCCCGATGGTTCGTCGGCGATAACGCGGCGCGCGGCCGGCTGGGGGGGGGGGGGTTGTCGAAAGTGAGCGAGCGTGAGAGAGTGTGAGTCATACCGCACCGCCGCCGCCCGTGGTCCCGGCCTCCAACGACACCACCACCTCACCAGCGTCACCACCATTGGCGGTGACCACCGTCCAACCGATGTTCGGTGGTGGGTTTCCCGCTTGCCGCTTGAGGAAAGTCCAGTATGGACTTTTGAGCTAGAGATTTCTTTTCCTTTTGCACTACCCTGGTCACGCATCGGGCAGGGGGCCGCCGGGCAAGGTAGGTCTTTTGATACAGGTTTGTCATGTGAAGTCTGGTTTTTGTTCTTTTTTTCTTGTAACAAGACGCTAATGATTGGCTGACACCCGCATATCGGTGCTTCTTCATTCTTCTATGAGGACTAGCCAGTCTCTAGTCTGGGAGAGGCCATGCGTGAAACGGTCCCAGGAGCCCGTTTCGGAGGTTTCGGGAAGGTGATGGAGGGATGATTCAGCATGATGTTGAATTTTGTTATGTCACGGCTGCTTACAAAGATGGATGAATAGTGAGAGTCACTCACCGTTTTACCTTTCACACTTTGGGCTCCGGCGTGAGGGAATGCTGGTGACTAGTGTCATCTGCGTAAGAGGGGGATGGATTCATGGAGCAAGGGGACGAGGTATATCACCGAGTGGTGGAACGCATATTCTGGGAGGCGCTTATGGATTTCACGATTTGGGCGGCGGGTTTACGTGCCCGATGAGAAGGCCTTACACGAGGGTTCTTGAGGGCCTTTGGTGTCCTTGGATCGGAATGACGAGTGTCTTTCTCGTTTTGGATGGCGAGGGGGGCGTGGTTCTTGGTGTCACGGACTTACGATGGAGCTCGAGAGCTTGTAGAGGCTGAGTTCTGAGGTTTTCTTCACGATGAATGGCTCGTTTGGGTTCGTCTTCGTAGGCAGACAGGCAGGCAGCCAGTCGCGTCGTGGATGGCGATGATGGGGGGCCGGGAGAGGGCTGTTTCGTCACGTTTTGCTCGACTGCCTGGACCCGTGGGCCCGTTCTACCCGCATCGCTCTCAAAGGCGGCGAGGATACAGGCCGTGCTGATTCTCTGAAGAGTTTTCGAAGGTTTGTTGGATGACTCTTTTCGGATGCGAAAGGGCGTCAGATGTCAACTACACTCGATCAGGGACGCCGAGACGAGGGGCCCGGGGAGCTGGATGATCTGTTTCCTAGTGGAAACCAGTCATCGGTGTAAGTGATGCCTTTGCAGTCGGCGACTTTTTGGGGGTTTTCTGATCCGGATATCCCGGTGCGGTAAGTCTTCCCGTTCTGGCCGCCTTGCTCACTCGGTCAGCGCCCATAGAAATGTTTTCTTACTTTCTACGTCTCTATTTCTGTGACGGAAGTATCGACATAAGGAGAGGGGAAGGGGAAAGACATGACGGCCGGCCTGCCCGATTCAGCTCGCCGAGTGGAGAGGGGTTTTCCAACATCTTACCCTTCGGTGAGATGATTTTGGGGTTAATCAAGTTGGCACGGGAAGAGAGCTGCTAATGCGTGCGGCGCGGATACCGGAGGAGCCTACCTACCTTATGCAATGTATCCGTATGTGTTTGCAGATGTGTTCCTGCCCCGCAGGCCGGGCGGAGTAGGGTGGGGGAGGCACCGAGAGATCCGGCGGTTGGGAAGTGAATGGGTATTCCAGAATCTTGGGGATCACGGAGGTGTTTGACTGAGTTGCTCGAGGGGGTAACGGGGATCTTCTGATGGATTGTTTATGTCATGTCGTTTGCGCGCACGCTTTGGGGCATGGAAGTAGATGGGCTTGGATGCTTGATACCAGCAGCAGGAGGGGTGATGTTCGAGCTCGAGTTTCCTTGCTGTTGATGCTTATGCTCTTAATCAATATCAAATCTCGAAGGTGACGATGGTATGCTTTAGTATGCAACAAAGGAGCGAGCTTCGCAAGGCAGGTGTGAGTCTATCTTGCGTCTTCTTGATGCGAGGAGTCTTCAAAGGACCATTTCAATTCCAGGGTACCTCTCATTTGGCTTACTCGCTTCTCCTCAAGTGGGCAGTTTTCCTCGGGGTCGGTGGTTCTCAGCCAGGCGGCCCTGAAACCTTGTGCTTGAGAATCAGAATGTAGCACTCAAGAGACTAACGGCGTTAGCTTCTTGGACCTTTTCGAAAGTGTTTCTCCTAACCATTGCTTCAACTATTGGGGAAGGTTATATGTACTTCGATCTTCGTGAGGTGTTTGCTCGACTTGTTTCTCATGCCTCCATCCAATTCGACAGAAGAAACGCGCTAGATATTGTTGCCTCACTTCAAATGTGTCTCTTGAACGAAATAAACCTAGTGCAAACACATGTGGAGTGAGGAACAAGAACTCACATACCTTCTATCCAACAAAATCATCTCATCCAACGAGGAAAGAAAGTAGGCCAATAGAAATACTCTTCTTTCTCTAGGTATCCTTTTTGATAAACGTCAACCGACCAGTTTACTATCAAAAATCCTTAGGACACCAAAAAGCAAACACCCAGCTTCCACAATCGGGAGAGAGCTCCGCAACATTGTGGTTCCCTCGCCTCCTTCGACTCCCAACAGACGGACGACAAAATCGACTGTGCCCAAAAAAAAAAGAACTTGCGGCCCAATTCCAAAAAGGAAAGTATCCTCAAAAATGCAAAAGATTAAGCAGTTCTCCCCTTCCAGAATCGAACTAGAGACCTTTCGATGACAATGTAACCATTACAGTCGAACGTGATGAACCAACTACACCAAGGGGAGGATCGGAGCTATTGCTCCGCTCGGTGTTGAAGTTGGGGGGTGACAGCAATCCTAAGTACCTCTTCGCCCCACAACGCCAAATCTTTGCGACAAATTCCCAGAGGAGGTCCACAGACATCATTTAACGCAAGAAAGGAAAATCTTGGTCTACAATATCCTGCCCGTCTCATTTTACATCCAAGTAAACAAAGTGATTGTCTGTGCCCCTCTGCCCGTGCTGTCACCAGCAAGCGGTTTCTTGGTACCACACATTCGATGTAGTCGTGATATATAATTAAGCAGTTCCTCAACGATGGTAACCTTACTGCTACCTTCCTAGGCTTTTCGGGGTGCATTTAATTCAATTACTTTTCTTGTTTTCGAGAGAATTGGCTAAGTAAGAATAGCACCAGTGACAATGATGGCAATAGTAATAGGATGTAGGGACGTGAAGTCAGCGGATGTCCATGCCGCTCACTATGACAGTTTTGAAGCAGGCATATGAAAAAGCTGATTCTTTTTTGTATTTTGATATCTCAAACTCAAGATCCCATTTGGCCCGGATTGCCAATGCTCATCTTGTCTCACTCGTCGCCCATACACCCAGAATTACATTACAATAGGCATGTAAGTCCCGTAAGCTCATAAGTCATATGCAACACCAATGCATGCTTTTCAATCCACATAGGCTGTTCCCTTCCGTCTGTACTTTTCAACGATTCCGCGGCTGAGGTAGAAGACCAGCAGCCATGATCGAAGACGGCGCCAATCGATCGTGGCGGCTAAGTCTTGATGTAAGCAGATCGACCACGCGGCGATGGTACTCAATCATCCGTTTCTCAAGTTCAACGAGCTCAAACAGAGGCCCCGCGGTACTGCGGGCCCTCGCAGCTAGCAGCCGACCAACTTTATCGTGCTCTTTCTCCATAATTTCGAGCGGCCACAGCGACGCGTTGTCTTCCACTGCGTGCGAGGGGAAGTAATCTTCCACCAGGAGGAGCATCTCGATCAAGCGGCCGTCTAGGTTGCCTGGACTGCGATGCGTGACGGCATTTTGGAGGCCGACGCGAAGAGTCTGTGTGCGTGTTAGTAAATTCCCCTTTACACTTGCTGCAAGTACAATGCTTTTTGGCTAGATGTCAACTTACTTCCCAAGTCTGAGTCTCTGGCTGAATCTTGGCGCCGCCTCTCCGGAGCCAGAAAAGAAGCCTCTGCTGCTCGAGCGTCCACGGGCCGGTGAGGATATCGTCTGGGATCGTCGTCTTTGGGTGTACATCGACGTAAAAGTCGAGTGCCGGTTTCGAGCCGTTGAGGCCGTAGGAGAGCCAGTCGTATTCGAAACAGCCGCGGGAGTCAAAGTGACCGAAGCCGCCTATTCGATCGTGCGGTGATTCGAGGGGGTTATCCTGTTCTGTATCTTCTTCATTCTTGAGGCTCACGTGGGAGTGTGAGTACCACCTGTTACGAGCGAAGCGCCAAGCCCAGACCTGTCGGGCCTCAAAGATGACGTCTACGTTGATCCATGGACTGCTCAGTAGCGAAGACTGGTCATAAAAGTCAGCAAGATGGAAAGTTTTCCTGCGGTGAAATTGAGTCATACCTGAAATTCAGAATCACCTGGGAATAACTCAGGGAAGCTCTCATAACGCCATAGTCCTCGCCCGTCGTCTGCGGCGCCTTGTTTCAAAGCCGTCTTGATCACTCGCTTATCGACACCAAACCAGCAGTCCCAGGTCGGATGGAAGGCGGCGATGATGATGTTGACAAGAGTAGATCGACCAGACAGCAGAGCGCCGATGCGCGGGCTGCAACGGGGAAGATTGAGATTCTCACTGAGGATGAATATATGCTCGGCGATCTCAAGGGGAAAGTTCTGCTCAAAGAGCGAGAAGCGTTTGGCGACTGGACGACTTGCAAGGCGTGACGCCCGCTTCTTCGCCAGTGATGATGATGATTCCTTGGTCTGTGGTTTGGAGGAAGCGGTTTTGCCACGCTTGCCTCGGACTTTGATCGGGGTCAACTGCATGATCTGCCCATGGACAGACAGCCACCTTTCTCCCCGTTTGCGCTCTCTCTCGCTCTCTCGTATCCCCAGACGGGCTTTTATCTCTGCGGTCTCATTTCAGAGATGAGAGTCGAAAATAATTGCCGAGCTTGATAGACCTTTCTATGAGAGGGGTATCAATGAGGATGGTTTGAAGAAAAAGCTGGAGCTGAGGTAAGAATGGTGTAAGTGAAAAACCTTGTGCCTCCAACTATCAAACCTCGTCTGGACTTCAAAGGGACGATGCGCTCGGCAGTTGAGATACTATGCAAAAGAAGCCAAAGAGAAATACTGCAGCCAAGCAGGCGTGCCAGATTGATTGCAGATATTCTTGCCTCCCCGTGAAAACCCTTCAACAAATGCCCTTTTTTTTTTTTTCTCTCAACCCGCTAATTAAGTTACTGGAGGGTCCTCGAGATTTCCCCCCATGTGGGTTTCGTACTGTGCGAGAGCCGTATTGAATGACATCAAAGACTGTCCGTGATCACCTGGACCGTGCAGCAGTGGTCCCAACTTTAAACTCTCTGCGAAAACGACCAAAAAAAAAAGTTGGTTGAGTGACGACAATTGAGAGCTTTCGCGTCGCCAATTCCGACCCTGCAGACCATCGTGCAAGTGAACCCGACAACCTCCACGAGGGAAGCATAAAAAATTATATGCGGTGAAGGGTCCTTCGACCGCGATGCCTCCCGCGATGCAGACTCGAGTACCCTCGACAAACCTGCTCCGATTCCTGCGGTCGCAAACGGAGGCCCCAATCTTCAGCAGCCGGAACCAAGGCATCGATTCCGCCGCCTGTATCTCCCGATGTGGCGGCTCCCCTCGACCAGCAGCTCAATACTCCCGGTGCCTCGCGAGGCGGACCCCAAAGACGGGCACGAGATCCCTCTCGAGTGCGACGACGACGACGACGACGACGAGCTGTAGACGACCCGAGCTCCACATCACCGCCGCGGCCCGGATATCCCGCAGGCCAAGAGCCCTCGAACCACTAGCGACAGCAGCATCGTCGTCGCCCTCGACGGCCACCGCCTTCTTTAGCACAACCCGCGTGAGGCAGGATGCCTGTGACGACGACCCATCGGCCCCCCGCCGGCGGACCTGGAAGGAGAAGCTCTGGGGCATCAGGAGCTGGGGCGGCGCCAAGGCGCTGAAGCCCAACGACCTCCCCTTCCACGACGAAGGGGGCTCTATGTTCAACAATCGCCGCGTTCTGACTGCCAAAGCTGCGCTTGAGCCGAGGCTGCGGTGCACAGAGGTGGACGAGAACGGCGAGGTCATCTTGGTGGATGGCGAGTTCAAGAAGACGGAGCTCATCGCAAAGGTGAGAGAAGTGCTCCATGGGGACCAGATAATGAGGGAGACTCGGTGATGAGAGACTGGATCGCTGACGAAAGATATGATGTTTTGTAGTACGGCCTGCTACCCCGCGACTTGCGAAAGATTGACTCGTCAAACCTCCCTCACATCTTTGTCCGCCAATCCGCCATCCTCCTCAACCTCCTCCACCTCAAAGTCCTCATCAAAAAGGACCGCGTCCTCCTCTTCGACGTCTACGGCTCAAAGACGTCCTACCCGCAATCTGCCTTCATGTACGACCTGCAAGGCAAGCTGAAACAGAAGAACGCCCAGGGCGGCGGCGGCAACGGCGTAGGCGGTCTCCCCTACGAGTTCCGCGCTCTCGAGGCCGTCCTCACCTCCGTGACGTCGGAGCTCGAGGCCGACTTCGAGTCCGTTCGGGACCCCGTCATCCGCGTCCTCAGCGAGCTCGAGCACGACATCGACCGCCACAAGCTGCGCGTCCTACTCATCCTCTCCAAGCGCGTGAGCACCTTTGAGCAAAAGGCCAAGCTGGTCCGCGACGCCATTGAGGAGCTGCTCGAGGCCGACGACGACCTGGCTGCCATGTACCTCACCGAAAAGGCCCACGACCTCTACCGCGGCGTCGACGACCATACCGAGGTGGAGCTGCTGCTGGAATCGTACAACAAGCTCTGCGATGAAATCGTCCAGGAGGCTCAGAACTTGGTGTCTGGCATCCGCAACACTGAGGAGATGTAAGCCCCCCCTTTTCTACTCCCAAAAGCGACTCTCGAGGCTTCCACAATTCGAACACATCACTAACATGGAAAACCCACCCAGCATCCGCGCAATCCTAGACGCCAACCGCAACGCCCTCATGCTCCTAGACCTCCGCTTCAGCGTCGGCACCCTAGGCCTAGCAATGGGCACCTTCCTCGCGGGCCTCTACGGCATGAACCTCGAAAACTTCATCGAGGACACCAACTGGGGCTTCGCCGGCGTCACAATCACCTCGACAATCTGCTCCCTCATCGTCTGCTGGTACGGCCTCGTCAAGCTCCGCAAGGTCCAGCGCGTCAAAATGATGTTTGACGAGCGCGGGCCCCTGACGCGCAACACTCGCTCCCTGCTGTCGTCGTCGTCTTCGTCTTCTTCCTCGTCATCGTCAGCGCACGCTCAGCAGCAGGCCGTCGGTCAACAGCATTGGTTCCAGGACGACGGGCCGGGGAGCCAGCTGGACGCGAGGAACCGCGAAAAGATGCGGCGCGTGACGAATCAAAAGGCTGCCGCGGCGGCGAATGCCAAGAGCACGACCAAGAAATGGTTCCAGTGAGCTAAGCCTTGGTAGCGACAAAGAAAAAAAAAACGAAACAGGAAACAAGGAAAAATGAAACGAATTCCAACAGGCAGGGCATGAAACAGAGGTAAACCAAACGAACATCGTCTTCCCATGGGCTGTTTCCTGCATGCCTTTTGCACGTCAGCCTTAAGCGCGGCGATCGCGTCTTTCTCCAGAGCAGGGAAAGAACAGAAAACCACATGAGCCTTTCATCAGCGAAAGGTAGACCGTTCAAGCATTTGAAGGCTTGGTGCGAAAAAACTCAATCCCTAGAACGGACTGTACGACGGCGGCGGCGTTTCCGGAAGCAGGCGCAAGGCGCAGAGGAAAGGAAAAAAAAAGAGTTATACGAGCGCTAACGAGCAACATTTTTTTTTCTCCCCCCTCTCTTCCTCTTTTTTTCTTACCATTCGTAATTCTGTACAACACATGCGGCTTGTATATTGTCAAGGTTTCTTTCCTCCACACGGGAGACAAATCACCATCTTCTCAGCTCATTAGAAGGAGAGAGAGCCTGTAAATACTCCGTTGCGCGGCTAGAAAACACACATCCCTGTACCAACAGCATAGTAACTATACCCAACACAACCCCCCAATAGATTCGATAGACACAAACAGACCTTTCCAATCCAAAGAGATTCAATGGCGTTTCCTGGATGCAGTCTTCCTCGAGGGATCCCACTGTTAGTATTGTCGGTTTCTGTATCATCGAGACTTGTCAATTCCCAGACGCCTATCCGAACTTTTGTTCGACTGTACGAAGCACTACCGCTGATAGCTTGCAGCAAGGCACTGCCCGCCTCTCTTTCAACAAGCACTTGGATATGGCCCCCGCAAGTTATCGAAGCAGTAGCACCAATGCCCGGTGGCGACTTCAAACTTTTCTCAGCCTCTTCCCATTCCATCGAGATGGGCTTGCGAAAAGAGGGCACCCAGACTTGAGGAAAGTCGGTGATTGCACAAAGACGCTAGGGTTAACGCTTTCCTTTGATCGGCTGGAACAAGAAAGAGCGTCGACCGGAAATGTCAAAGTCGGGTTCCCAGCCGGCATCGATTCGATGGTACTTACCCACCCAAGCCACCTATCTGCACTTGACGGCAGAAGCAGGGTGACGAGGCGATGAAGAAACGAGAAACCTCAAACGACTTCGTCTATTGGCATCAGAGAGCCCGCTGCTGCAGAAGAGAAGTTACTCCCCCTCTCTTTTGCGGTTCTAGGTCAGCCAGAGTTCCGCATGGCATGTCCGAGCGAATCAGCCCAATATCAGTACCGCTGCCACGAGGGGATGCGCTGGTTCGCGAAGCTTTGGCAGGTAAGCCACTACTACTAGCCGCATCAAGAGGCTAGCCGGACCTCAAATTGAGAAACGGCGTGGAGGGTCAGAGCTCCCTCAACCAGATCACAGTGACAAGAGTCTGATGAGCTGCTGCTCTCAGCTGTTGAAAGACGGGCTCGGGAGTCTGTGACTGCATCTAGGTGCATTGGGCAGACAAGGGCTGCTGAGACCACCCTTACCCCGGCTTTCGTGGAAGGCGTACGGTGTTATGTAGACGACTGACTCGAGCGTAGGGTGGCATTGCATTCCGGTGTGGTGTTTACTAGCAAACGGCCTGGGAGGAAGCCATAAAGTACTGCCACGTTGTGAAAAGCGGTGTACTTCGAGACCTTGGTAGCTTTCCTTGATCAAAGTTGGGTACCATGTCATCTCTGGCAGAAACCTCCTCCTGGATACGTGGGAGAGCCCTGTTGGGATGGGCATCGATGACGAGGAGTAATTTCTAGTAGAGAGCCTCTTCTTATGAGACGCGCCCCCCGCTTCAGGTATCAAGAGCAGCTATTCGCCTTGCCGCTTACCCAGAACCGAAATACGTAATGCCATGGTCGATGGCGGCCATGCCTTTCGATGTGCGGCGACGAATATTGGGCAGGAGGCGAATGATCTCGACAAGTAAGCGATGGGGAGAAGGACAATGACATGGCTTTAGCTAGTTCTCGATGTTGCTGCGGGCGCCAAGAAGGGCTGCTGCAGCCTGTACATCTCCATTGGTTTCTTCGCGAGTTGTTTGCAGCAGCAGGGTTGACGGCATCCTTCGTTCTCTACGAAGTTTTCTGGGATGATAGAAAGGCCGAATGGAGAATGTATTTCTGATTGCGATGAGTTGACCGGAACAGCCTTGCTGAATTTGGAACGTGGTTCAGGAATCGCACTGAATGATCACTAGTCGAAGGGGAAATGACCAGGAAGCTTGAGTGGTCAGTAGTCCTCAATCTAGGCCATGCTCACTTTCGTTGGAGTGCAAAGGTTAAGCCGTAGCTCTTCCTTTTGCTTTGTGCTCAATGTCCTGTTCCCTCCCATTCTTTGTTGGTTTCTGTTTCTGTTCGCAGTGAGGAAAACCAACCGTCGCCAACTTGAGACATTTAAAGGTGCCTGTTCCCAGCCACCAACCATTAGTTTTTCGATGTAAGCAGCATTTACTTTGGCGCCTGCGCGTTTAGATGAGGTGATTGCGAGTGTAGTAGATCTAGGTCTCATGGTGAATGTGAATGAACTCCGGCAGCCCGGATATGACTCCGGCAGCGGACGGCGCAATGTGGGGCCGGTGCGGTGCAGTTCTTGGTGCTAAAGTAAGTCCCGCATGAAGCGGGAACTCGGACTCGAGTTATTAATGCGGGGGAATCGGGGAAAGGGGCAAGAGAGCCATGCAGCATACTTCCCGAGTGCAATTAGAGTTGTGGAGGAGAATCTCGATTGGAGCTCCTCCAATATGGTTGAGAATCCGTCGGCGAGTCAAGGCGGTCGTCTTGAGGGGACATTGGAGGTATCTTTGGAGTCATGAGTAACTTTGGCCCTGTCAATAGAGCTGTGCGAAGCTCAGACCATCGGCCGACCTTATTATCGACCTTGAGTGTCACGGACGTTTCCAAAGCTTAAGTGGCGAGCAGGCAAGGGCTCATAGTTTCGCATGTACTGCTAATGTAGTTGTTGGAGACGCGAATTTTGGCATTGTGGGCGTCGAGATCATCTCGAGGCTGCGTGTTGAAGTCCAGGATGCAGTTGTCAGGCAACCAAATTCGGGATTGGATGGTGCCATGGGCGTAGCTGACATGAACGTTGAGTGTCTGTCTCCTCAGGAAGACTGATTACCATCAGCCTGAGGCCCCTCAGCATTGGGGAATATTGTTAGCGCATGCAGAAATCGGCAGCGCGGGTAAGTAGAAGGCCATTGTGAATGGGAAACAAGTGGGAAACGAAACTTCGTCTTGACGGAGCCTCTCAAAGCCTCACCCCGGTCGGCGGGAAGAGGGATGGGGTTCTTGGAGAAAGTGGGCTGATATATCCCTGCGTACTCGGTACGGGTACCATGGGGACGGTTAGCTTCCGGTATTTCCTTCAACCGGCCAAAGCTCATGATGCATTGCGAATTGTTGCGGCAAGCTGTATAAGGATTGACTCTCGGGTTCGGCAAATCTAGTGCTGCATACGACGGATACTAGGAATTATGACTGGGTGCCAACGGTGTCTGATGGAGGGAAACGGCCGGCGCTCGAGAGGGTGCTGGAGAATGAGCGTGGCTTTCCCCGGTCGCACATGCAGGAAAGTCGGATCTGTGGTGAAGGCCGGAGAACTTGAAGACCTGGATTTGCCGTCAGTACCAACAGGCCGACCAAGCACAGAACTTATTATTGGCGGTGACAGGGAAAGGGGAAACAATAACCCCTGGGTGCCTAGGAGAGGGCAGATAGCACGTATTACAAACGAATGAGATGCATTTCCGAATGTAGCTTTGCCTTGATCGAGGCTGCTTCAAAGGCTTGTATCCGGGGACGGTTTCGTTCGCTCACCGCCAGGCGCCAACGTTGTACATTAACAGTGTGGCACGTCGACGTGCCACATGGTAGAGGCTGGAGGATGGCAGTTGGTCAAGGGACCGACAATGACGAAGAAGCCAGGAGTGGTGTTATCAGCATGGTTCCGTCTGTGGTAGTCAAGTTTGTGACATTGTCCAAGTCAGTTGGCCCACCACTGGGCGGCTAAGGTCCATCTATCGCCTGTCTATCGAGGAGGCTTTGCAAGGTGCGAGGGGTTGCTGGCGGCGTTTGCGGTTTGTAAAGTCCATTGTCAAAAGTGAGTTGGAGATTGTGGTTTGACTGGGGGAAAGGTTCTTGAGGTGGAGTTGTCCTCGTTGAGGTCCAAGCGGATCAACGTAGAAGCATGAGACGCAAATCTACCTCCGGTCAGAAGGTTTTTTGCGGCAGGTTCACAACGATAGGCAACGCAGGTCAGGCGCACTGAATACCTTATGTTGTATGTACCTACTCCGTACCCAGAACGGGATTTGGGAAAGGGAAGGCGGCGCAAGGGCGTTCTTTCCTTCTCCGGGTTCTTCACTGGGGATCCAATGGCTGAGATGCCTACGTAGTAAGGTACCTTACAAGTACCTTAGTTGGTGCAGGTGCCCGGGGTGGGACGGGGCTCGGTACGTATCTGTCCGTGGCGGCGGCACCGGCGGGGCCTTCTAAAGTTGTAAGGCAAGAGAAGGAGGGATTGGATGCAAGGTGCCTGCCAACTTTGGCGGCTGCTGTTGCTGCTACATCTTGCCCAAGCGTGCCAAGGCAGATTTGTACTGAGGAATAGCTTATATGTTTGCTGCCGTACCTTACCTTACGTATACTTCTTCTTATATGAAGATGCAGCCAGTAAGGCACTTATTGAATCCTCCCAGATACCTACTGACGCGAAGCAGTAAAGACACGTGAAATGAGATAAGTACGGAGTTCAGCATCATTAGTGCAGAGTGCGGACGGGAGTCGAGCCATGCAGGAAATGGGGAATCAGGTCATGTCGGATGTGGCGCCAACAGTCGGAAGCCCAATCCCATGTCACCATGTCCCTCCATTGTCCCGTTTGTTCCAATCTTTCCCAAACCAGTGGTTCTCGCCTGCATCTTGATTCTTATGATGTTTATGCTCGCTCTCTAATGCCCATCTGGATGTCTCTGTCATCTCTTACCAGCCATCTTGTGTTGCCTCGAAAATTGACTGCAGTCTGTCCGCAGTATGTAGTCTCTGAAAGCCCGGGTCCCCATCCCTACCGTCTCCTGTACTTTCCATGAGTATTAGTGTCCATCTCTCCACACGGGCAGCGAACAAGAAGGTAACACCGCTCTCACCTTGGGAGGCCCACTGTCCACCGCCCCTGCCCGCCCTGCGCTACCCGATTCCCACCTGGGCAGTCTCCAGTCGGGGCTCCTTTTCTTCCTCTCACACTCCCTTCGAAAGAGTCCCGTCCTGTTATCGCTCTCGTCACACATCAGCCGACAAATCACCAACAAATCATACTGCGGTCCCGCTCTCACCCAACTCTTCTCTGCATTCGACAAAGTACCAGACCAGCAGAGTAAGAGGCCGCGGCAGGCAATCAATACACAGCTTCCTCCCTTTGCCTGAATTTACCTGCGCCGCTGTTGTCTACGGAGAGGTATCTCTCTCTAGCATTCCACCGATTCACCGCACACCTACCCGGCTTGAATCGCACTCACCGTTCGGCCCTTGTCTCGAAAACGTTAGCATCGGCACGTTGATTGTCGACACCTTGGAGAGCCCCTCCGCCCGAGTCCTCCTTACGGTCTGGTCTCCATCCGTACCGTCACTACTACAGTCCCTACCCGCCCATCTCACCACCACAGCGTCGCAGCACGACCAGTTACTGCCTCTCCCCGCTCCGTTTCTAGCCTGCCGTGGACGGATAGCCCCCTTGTCATTCTCAAGGGTCCCCAAGATCTGCGCTTTCGCCCCTGCCATCAACCGCCCTTTCACACTCAATCGTCTTTCCGGCATACGCAGCGACGCTCAGCTCGGCTCCCCATCCCCTCCTCGACAATCAATCGACACTCACCAAACCTTGCATCATCCTCCTATCCCGTCAAGTCACGTTCGCGGTCCAGGCCGCATCCCAATTCGCCGTTTCGCCCTCACACCCAAAAAAGAAACGACGTACACCACCCTTTCGCGCCCTCTACCAATACCTACTGCACATCCCACCGCACCTATTCCTGCTTCTCGCCCTTGGGCCTTCCTTGCCCTCCACCACTGGCAAACCTTGGCTCTCCTCTCGTCCTATCATTGCCGCTGTCCACTTCGCCTACTCGCCAGAGCTTGTGGTTGCCCTGCCTCGTGGGTTCATCCTTTCTCCGGCCTCACTTGATCCGTTCGATGTCAAGTCAGTACCTGCAACTTCCGTTTCAAACCATCTGCGCATTAATTGCCAATTAGTCGTACCACCTTCGTCTGCTTGACCGGCCGGCGAGGTCCGGAGAGCTGTCAACCACACCGAGCCTCGAACCACGATGCCTCTGCTCGCGCTGCCCTGACTTGACGATTTCCTCTTTTCCGACCCCTCTGCCCGCCATGGGTTCGCTCGCTGGCCAGACGAGCTCATCTCCGGACATGGCCCGTCCGCCGCCTCTCATGACTACCCCAGACGATGGCGAGGTAGAATATCGCGCCCAGGTGTTGCGGCTGTCGTCGCAACGATCAGAAGCAGATGTTGAGGAGGAATTGGTCGCAAAGGCAGCCGCCTTAGGTATTCCAACGTCCCGGTTCACACACGATAAGCGCAATACCTCGAGCGCGGAATCGCAGACCTCGACCATCGCGACGCAACATGTCCGAACGTTCTCAAATGCCTCGCGAGATTCAGCAAGCACAACCTTGACATCTCATCCGTCTTTACATGCTGTCCCGCTTGCCGCCGACGTTCCTCCGCATTCCCTCGCAAGAAAACGCTCCAAGAGCCTCAGTTTCTCTCAGTACGACAAGTATCTATCGCAAATAGATCCCAATATCCACCAACCAAAAATCCAAAAGGCCTCCCCAGCCATACCACACGATACAACCGCACACAGCCTCTTCAGCGTGACTTCAAGAAAAAGCTACTTTAGCATCAAAGAGAGCATTAGGAAAATACGATGGAAGCGCAAGTCTGGCTTGCTCGAATCCACAGTGTATGTAATCCCCCCACCTCTTACTTTCGTATCCGCGCTGACCAACCTCAAGTTCTTGCATATGCTGTCGCAATGATTTCAACAAGTCGAATGCCTTGCACAGCTTACCGTGTGGCCACACATACTGTGCCGAATGCCTCAGTATCATGATCCAGCAAGCTACGACGGACGAGTCCAAAATGCCGCCTCGATGCTGCACACAGCCAATCCCGGGATCCATCATTCAGAGAATCCTCAACCGAGAGGAGCAACATGCCTTTTTGAAGGCGGTTTTGCAATTCAGCACACCTTGGGAAGCTAGGATCTTTTGCCCAAATACGGCCTGTGGTGAATTTATCCCTCCTCGCAACCGGATCGACCCGAAGCACCCTTTTGATGTGGTGTGCCGTAAATGTCGGACACGGGTATGCGTCATGTGCAAACGTAATGCCCATCCCGTAGGCAAAGATTGCCCTTCTGACTGGGAACTGGAGGCCGTTCTCAAGATGGGCGAGAAATCCGGCTGGCGACGTTGTTATAAGTGTCGAACATTAGTCGAGTTAAGCCAGGGGTGCACCCACATGACCTGCAGATGCAAAGCTCAGTTTTGCTACATCTGTGGCGCCATCTGGGATCCATCCGTGGGTTGCCCCAACTTTTGCAACGGAGACGAAGAGTTGGAGCGCAGGAGAATGGAGGAAGAGGCCAGAGAAGCTGAATTGGAGGCGGAAAAGGTTGCTCAAGAAGCAGCGGCAGCCGCCGAAGCCGCTGAAAAGGTTGAAGCAGAGAAGCGGACCCGTGAGAACGCGCAGTTCGCTGCGTTGCAAGACGAGATGAACCAAGAGCTGGATCGATTCCGGGCGTACTTGAGGAAGAAGAAATGGGTCATGTGGACGCGACACGCTGAGAAGAAGCAGGCCTTGACGGACCGATACTCGGACCAGATCGATAAGATGAAAGAGCGTCACGCGAAGACGGCTGCTCACTTGGAGGAACGTCAAATTGAGGCTGAGATGGATCTTCGGTCAACGCTTGACCAGAGCGAAAAGAGTGTCAAGATTCGTCTCAAGCACATGGAGGCGTACTGCGATGGGCTTGGCCGGACGCAGAATGCTGATCTGCCACCACGAGTAGTTACAGAGAGGGACCTACGCCTGCTGGGACAACAGTACAACGTGCGAGATGGCATGGAGCGTTTGCATCAGGCAAAAATCAACGTTTTGCGAGACCGGCAGGCCAAGCGCATGGAGGAGCTTTTGGAACGACAGGAGCAAGAACTCGAGAAACTGACCGACAAGAAGGAGCAGGATATAGAGAATCTGGCAACGGATTTTGCGCAAGAAGAAGATACCCTGGTCAAGATTTTTAATGACCGCAAGCAGAGACTGCAACGACGTTGGCTGATTGCAATCGAAATACTCCGAAAG